AGCTAATGAATGCTGGGCTTAATATATAGGTGATAGGTTGATCTGTGCGGCAAACTACCGTGGTACATGTTTACCTATGTAACAAAATTGTACAATCTGCACATGTACTCCTGAATTTAAAATAGAAATTGAAGACTAAAAAAAAAAAAAAAGAAAAAGAAAATCTCATGCTTCTGGAGGCCAGAAGTAGGAAGTCAAGGTGTTGACAGGAGTGGTTCCTCTTGGAGGTGTTGGGGGAGAATCTGTACCAGGCCTCCCTCTCAGCTTCTGGTATTGCCAATAATCCTTGGCATTCCCTGGCATATAGCGGCATCACTTCAATTTCTGTCTCCATTGTCAACATGGTATCTTCTCTCTGTCTCAATCCTGCTTCAGCTTCCCAAGTAGCTGAGAATAGAGACACGTACCACCAAATGCAGCTATTTTTTTTTTTTTTTTTTTTTTTGGTAAGGATATTGGTCTTTGGATTAAGACACACTGTAATCCAGCATGACCTTATCTTATTTTATGTCAATAAACAAAGACCCAATTTCCAAATAAGGCCACATTCACCAGTACTGGGTGTTAGGACTTAAACATATCTTTTTAGAGGACACAATTCAACCCACAACAAGGCTCAAAGACAATGCAGTGAAAAACAGATAGCCCTTTTCCATAAATGGTACTAGAGCAATTGGATACCCATATGCAAAAAAACAAAAGGATCTTGATCATACCTAAAAATCTACAAAAATAAACTCAGAAGTGAATATAGACCTAAATGTAAAACCTAAAAACACAAAACTTCCAGAAGAGAACATGGAACAACTTTGTGACCTTGAGTTAGACAAAGGTTTCTTAAAAATGACACCAAGGGTACAATACATAGAAGAAAAAAATGGATAAACTGAATATTATCAAAATCAGAAATTTCTGCCCTTTCAAAGATATTAAGAGAATAAAATGGCAAACGACAGACTTGGACTATATCTTTGCAAAGCATATAAATAATTTTTAAAAGGCGTCTAAAATGTATAAAAGCATACAAAGGATATAAAGTATATAAGGGATTTGTATCCAGAAAATATAAATAAATCTCAGACTCAATAATAAGAAAATTACCCAATTAAAAATGGACAAAATATCTGGAAACAGCATCAAAGCAGATACATGGATGGCAAATAAGCACATGAGAAGATGCTCGACATTATTTGTCATTAGGATATTGTAAGCTAAAGCCACAGTGAGATGCCACGATTCTCCCATTATAAAAAGTCCAGCCACACCAAATGTCTGTGTGGATGTGAAAAAAAAATGAAACTTTCATTTATTGCTGGTGGGAATAGAAAATGGTAAAAACACTTTGGAAAGCAGTTTGGCAGGTTTCTTTTTTCCTCTTAAAGCATACACCTACTATATATTCCATCCATTCTACACCTAGACATTTACAAAGAAGAGGAAATATATGTCCATATGAAGACTCATACATAAATGTTCATAGCAGCTTTGCTTACAATAGCCAAAAACTGCAAACAACCCAATTATCCATCCATATGCAAATCAATCAATAAATTGTCCTATAGCTATACAATGAAATGTTACTCAGCAACAAAACCCAATAAACTATTGATATACACAACACTGATGAATCTCAAAATAATTACGAGTGAAAGTGGTGAGATCAAAGAAAAAAAGTATCTGTTGTACGATTCCATTTCTATAAAAGTCCACAAAATGCAAACCAATCTATAGCGATAGAAAGCATCTCAGTAGTTGTTTGGGGTGGGAGGGGAGTAGGTCAGGATGGGAGGGAGGCGTTACAGAGGGACAGAAGAGAACCTTTGGAGGCGACAGGCATACTCACCATTTTGATTGTGGTGATAGTTTCGTGGGTGTACACGTATGTCAAGACTGTCAAATTGTATGCTTTAGATATGTGCAGTTTATTATACCACAGTAAAAATGTAATATAATTGACCTTTTATTGAGGTCAATTATATCACAATAAAATATATATATTGAATGCTTGTTATACCTCAGATATTTTGCTAGGTGTTTTCATGAAATATTCATCTACTTCTGAAAGTACTTTGTGGTAAGGATAGTGCTGAATTTCAAAGAATAATAATATATTTATGGAAGTAAGCATATATTCTATAATGAAGGAAGGGAGTGGAAGAGAATAAGGAAATGGTGAGTGGAACCAAAAGATTTCCTGGAGTAGGAAAAAGAAGCAGGGTATTAAAAATGGAAAAGACAATATGGCAGATTGTATTTTCCAACAATGGGAACATTATTTCTTCTTATAATATGGATGTAGTTCTGACACTCTTCTCACTGAGAGGTGGAGCCTGCATTCCCTCTTCTTCAATACGGGGAAGCTTGTGACTGCCATAGAGGTAATGCTGGAGCTCTTGGCATCATAGGCACCAGGAAGGTGACCACAGTAGCTATAAAGCAATGGAGTGGAAGAGACTCTCATCATCGGTATCTGATCATAAAACCAACAGTGTGGCCAAACAAATGAGGTAAGATTTGCCAGCTTCCTGTCCCAGGAAGAAAGATGTAAGAAAATTGTTTTGGATTGGTGTTATAGTTAATTACATAGTATATAAATTAGTATTCATTTTTTTTTCTTTTTTTGGCTAACATGAATCACAAGAGACAAAGAAGTCACTAGAAGGTCATTTTAAAAGAGGACCCCTTGGCCTAATTTTATCCACTTCCTCTATCAGAAACTTGATCTTTAAGAATAAAGCAGAAGCTTCCCCAATCCATATTATTCTCCAATAACCATTTTCAATATGGAATTCAATAACTTGTTGAATTCTATTTTCAGGATTTATAGATTCTTTCTTGTTTGAACCATTCCATATTTGCCTTTGCTATATGCCATGCTTGAATATTCTCTTTCTTGGATTCAGAAAATTCATTGTTAATTTTTATCTTTGCTTCCTTCAATATCTTGAAGGTTCTTCATTATAAAAATGACAAATGGATATGACAGTGAGTCAATCTGCAATGAGAACTACTTGTAAAGTGTGTCTGTCTCACGTTCATATAGTCCCAGCACTATATGGAAATACTGTGAATTCTGTCATCAAGGCCTCGTTCTGCATTACTAGCGAACTAATAATTCTTAATGTGCCTGCACTGATTTTTAACTTGTTGAATTCTATTTTCAGGATTTACAGATTCTTTCTTATGTGAACCACTCCATCTTTGCCTTTGCTATATGCCATGCTGGAATATCCTCTTTTTTAGATTCAGAAAATTCACTGCTATTTTTTATCTTTGCTTGTGTTCTTATTCAGAATACAGTTTCAGACTGAGTCTCATCAATTGGTTTCTGCAGATGTTCCTGTTTCCCGCACACTTGTAAATTATAGGCTAGCTGTTTTACCTTTTGACAAAGAAATGGCTGAACAATTTTATAGCACTCTGGTCTAACCTGATCACATTGTCTGTATAGAGGTGATGATGGTTTTCTCTTTTTTTGTTCTCAGAGGGATCAGCATTTGTATTACAGTGTGGCAGTAGAAAGGGAATTTTAAAACTCATTTGGAGGGGGAGTCTCTTTTAGCTTAGAGTATGAAGCTGAAATAGATCTATTTTGTGCTTCATTCACACTTCCTGTATTACACCATTAAACATCCTCCCAGGGACCAGAAAATTCAGGAGATTTTGTTTAATCACTTCATGCCCAATATCATGGGGACCACATTTGCAGGATGTGGGGCATGATAAACCCCTGTGGTTAGGATAACAGCTGTTCTCAGTTGTAACACAAGCAATACAAAGTGAAATACTCACAAAATTATCCTCAAGGCTGTGGTAGGAAGGAAGAATGTTATAGAGGTTGATTTGCCCACATGCATATAATTGGTATATTGTAAAGCCTAGTTTGGACTCAAGTCCATGCTTTTTTTTTTTTTCGCTTTGTTAAGTGCATTCATTTTTACATTGCACTCTATCCTTGAAGAGGATGTGTGAGAGCTGCCTGCCTTTCATGGGAAGAAAGGGTTAGCATGCTGAAGGCTGAAGAGAATTTGGTGGCTGTTAATGTACCATGTAATGGTACCATGTAATGTGTAATATGCAAAAAAGCACATCCTGCTGGCTCCCAGGCCCTCATTAACTTTCTCATACATTTTTGTAAACTGTTATTGTTTTACTGGAGAAAATGATTCACAACACCACTCTGCGAGAAGATGAGACCCAATGCAGATGGGTTATAGTTTAATCTTCATATGTTAGAAAGTGAGCAACTACATACCAGAGGTTTTCAAAATGTGGTTCCTGGACCAGCAGCATCAGCATCTCCTGGGAATATGTTAGAAATACAAACTGCCCCAAATCGACTGAATCAGAAATTCTAGGGGTGAAGTGGTTTAACTATTTCTTCAGGTGATTCTGGTAAGTTAAAATTTGAGAACTCTTGCTATAACCAAGGCTCTCAGAAAGTGATTTTGTTCACAATTTAGCCTCAATTGTAAAGATAATTGTGTAAAATATTCTTTAGTAATAGAATGTCAAATAAAGAAATTCCTCCCGTCATGTAGCCACGAAGTATGTGTTAAGCACCTACTCTGTGCAGAGGAGTATGCCAGCCATTGTAGTAAAAGGAAAGATGAATAAAATATGGTCTCAGCTATCTGTGAGCTCAATTTGCCAATGAAATAGAGATGTAAGTTGCAATGTAGCCTGCCTCATTGGTGGCTATGTGTAATAACCTTTTGCAAAATGAAAAATATGGACTAAATTCACCATTGTATCATTGATATTACCAAACCACCCTTTGCTCTTTTCAGAGATGAGGAAATGGAGTGTTCATGAAAAGCTTAACAGTTTGAACCATAATGTTCATATGATTAGTGACAAATAGAATGCAACCTCACACTTCTTTGCATTGCGTTTGCCTTAGGAATCAGCCCCAACCCTGGGAACCTGAGGCTAGATCAGGATTACAAAGTCATCTTCTATCTGTTCAGCAACTAAACAAATTCTCAATAGACTTTTCCTTCTATTTAACTTTTATTAAAAGAAGTGCTAAGGTACTGAGATGCAGTACATCATATTTATTACCAAAATTATTAACAAATATACAAAACTTGTACATGTAATTTTCTTACATCCATTTATTCTCTATAATACTGATTTTTGTTCAAGTAGGTTATCTACAGTATGTAAACATCCCTTGGATTGACCTCACACAGATTAGGAAAGCCCTCTAACCCATGCTTTTATCAGATACTTCTTTTTATTTGGCTTTCATTTGTAGCATCTAATCTCCACATTTGGCACATGGAAGAGACATCTACAGTGCAAAAGAGGCAGATTTTTCTGGTTTCATTCTGAACAATTTTGCAGGGGCACAGTTAAAGAGCTGAGAGGAAACATGAGCACTCGAACTTGATGGCATTGGATGAGCTGTAATGCCAACACCTCTTGGTTCAGCCACTAAACTTGGGCATAAAGTCAGTGTCTCTTCCTTCACCCACCCTCCCACCCATCTACCCCCATGCAAGGCTGATTCAGTCTTAACCTTGTCTCAAAAGGGTTACAAGAAATTCCATCCATCCCAGAACAAGTAGGTTAATTTCACTGAATAACAAGTTTTCTGTTCTTTCTTGTTGGTTGGTTTCTGTGGTTTGATGAGCCAGCAAAACTCTTAAACGGAGAATACGATAAGATAAAAAACAGATACGAGAGGAGAACTTTCTGCTTTCAATTGGCATCTCTGTAGTCAAGGCCAGAGCCTTTCTGCAGTGGAAAAGTGACAAAGGCCTTGGCGAATGGCAGAGAAGAGCCACCCCTGCCATAACACCTTGGATTCCAAGCCTTCGCACACAGCATTAGAAAAATCAAAAAAGAAAAGAAAAAAAAAGGTAATCCAAGATTCTCCCCTTTTCTTCCTGGGTTTCCTTTTGCTTATTTAACTTAATCTAACCAAGTAAAGCTGATCCAGAGAGAGCTCTGTTCGCCTGCTCACCCCCATTCTCACTCTCCAGCACAGTATTGCTCGTGTGGTCGGCTGCACCTTGTCCGCGAAGTACCCGCGGAGAACGTCTGGATTTGGACACGCACCTGCCTCTCGGCTTCCGTCACCACAGTGGCGAGGGCCCCTCCGATGCCCCGTAGAGCTCGGCCAGCTTCCGGAAGCGGGGCCCCCAGTCCGTCAGGAAGTCGAAGCTCTGCTCCGAGTCCGATGTGGCCGACTGCAGGGAGCTCAGCGACCCCGCTACGGAGCCGTCCCCCTCGAACATGTACGTCTGAAGGGAGTCGAAGGGCGGCGCCCACAGGTCCATGTCGGCCTCGTAGAGCTTGGCCAGCACGTAGCTGTGGACAGTGCTGTTCACGGCGCACGTCTGAGGCACGTAGCGGGAGAGGCTCTCGATCTCGGGCAGCATGTCCTGCCGCGTCTTGGGGGCGGCCCCTGCCTGCGCCTCCCGGGGGTTCCACATGGCCGCGATGTCGAAGGCCTCGGTGTCCTCCTCGCCGCCGCCCTCGTCGTCGTAGCGGACGATGTTCTCGTGGATGTTTTCCTCGTCGTCGATGATGTATGGTTGTTTCCGGTGCCGCCTCGTGGACAAAATGAGCAACACCAGCACTGCCAGGAAAAAAAAGAGAAGCTGTTTATCCAGTAGACTGGGCTGTGTGCGCGATGACTAGAAATCGTCTTGATTCAGCCGGGCGTGGTGGCTCATGCCTGTAATCCCAGCGCTTTGGGAGGCTGAGGCGGGTGGATCACCCGAGGTCTGGAGTTAGTGACCAGCCTCACCCACGTGAAGAAACCTCGTCTCTACTAAAAATACAAAATTAGCTGGGTGTGGTGGCACACGCCTGTAATCCCAGCTTCTCAGGAGGCTGAGGCAGGAGAATCGATTGAATCCAGGAGGCGGAGGTTGTGATGAGCTGAGGTCGCGTCATTGTACTCCAGCCTGGACAGCAAGAGCAAAACTCCCATCTCAAAAAAAAAAAAAAAAAAAAAAAAAGTCTTGATTCACCACGGATAGGGGAAGAGCTACTGAGACAACTTTGGATATCTGAAACCTTGGGGCATTCTAATTTAAGTCGACCTTGTTCTCTTTCTGCAAGTCAGGTTGTGGACAGTGAAGCCCTGATTTCTTAAGATGGTTTAATTAGAAAAAGTTGCATATGGTCTCTTAAGATCAGGTTGCTGTTTTGAAATTGTGTGTGTCTATACCCAACAGCCTATTTAAAAATCCCTTTAACAAAGCACAAAGGCCTACTATGGAATAAGATACACAAAGGACCAGATCCTGTGCCCTGTTTATATGATGATAAATTCACATCTCTTTTAATGTGGAGGTCTTATCATATAGGTGGTATTCTGCTTCCTTATATTAGCATCTTAATAGGATTCTACTCTGTATATAATCATATCTTAATATGCATAGAGACACACATTCTAAATATGGGCCAAAGTTGTTTTTTTTTTTTTACTGCTAAGAAGCAAGAGAACATAAATGATCCCTGGGGTCCAATAAAGTCAGGTTCCTCAGAGAAGCCTTTCATTAGAGAGGTGGTTGTGGCTTTCTGGACCCAATGGTGTTTATGGAAGGGAGAGAGTGAGCAGTGACATTTTATATAATTCATCATGTTAGCAAAGAAATGCCACACTGTTAGATGTGCCCTTGCAGGTATGGATAAAATTTTATCCCAAAAAATGCATTTTTCCCCCACTAGAATGTGTTTGCCAGTGTTTAAAGGAGAGAGAATCCCATTGAGTTATCTCCGTTACTGAAAACGTTTTCCAGGAAGTGTTTTGAGGTTTTAGCTGTAGAACTGCTATTATTTTTTGTTTCCTGGTATGCTTTGTTACAGCTGGTGAACAGTGACAGTTTGACAGCACTGCAAAATAAGACCCCAATTTATCCAAGAGAAGAAAGTGGAGTACATTCATCCATGCAGTAAAAGATTACAGAGTGACTAATAAAACGCACAACGATTTAAAATTTTTTTGAATGTAGATATGCTTTTTTATAAATCGCAATTAATGACATAATACGTAATATTCTCCTGAATAGCTTTGGTGATAAAACATACACGGGAAAGAAATGATGATATGCTCGTGTATATTTTCTCTGTGTGCGAAAATACAAAGTAAGGACTAAAAGGACTGTGGGATTCCTAGAGAAAGAGACTAATAGGACTCCAAGGAAGTGAGGGCTTGAATTGAGCATGAAAGGTTGGAATGTGATTTGGATTGATGCAGACTGGAGATGTGAGATTCAAAGGGAGCATGCTGCACAGCATGTTTGCAGGATTCAGTGAAGTTACTAAGCCCAAATATTTTTAAGGCTCTATGCTAAGCAATGGGGAAACAGTATTGAGTATGATGGTTTCTGCTCTTGTGAGCTTGTAATCTAAGGAGATTGTGGATGCTAATGATTAATGCAAGTCAGATAGTGATAAGGGCTATTAGAGGCACAAGTGTCACCAGGAGAGTACAGAGAGGCAGGGCCAGTGAATTTTACTTGGAAGGCTGGGAAGGGCTTCACATAGATGACCTTGAAGTGGCAGGGGCAGTATTTCGGAAAATGCTAGGAAGCAAAATTGGAAGTCTTTTGAGTACCTGCTGGAGAGAATTCTGGTGGTCATGGAAAATTAGGCAGTTTCTATAAAACTGAAAAAGATTGGTACATGTCTTTTTTTTTTTTAGGTAGTCTAATTTAAATAAAAAATATTACATAATGCCTTGAAAATCAGATTTTGAGGAAAATGGCCTTATTCAGCTGAGTCTTCTCTGACAGAAGAGATTAATTTCTAGGGATGGTTTATATTTTGGATCTATAGGCATGGTGCATAGAGCTTATGAGACTTTCTAGGAACTAGATATATATTTGAGACATGTAAAAGAAACCCACCAAGTCAGAATTAATTTATTTAGTTTTCTGTAAAATACAGGATTTTGTTGACAAATGCAACTCAAATCTTATAGTTTCATGAATTATTTTTAATACAAGATGTGTACTCTTAGAAGTAAGAGTACTTAAAACTCAGGATTTGATGACAGCTCTGCTCAATTTAGCTCCTGAAAACTGTTTACTTTTTCTGTACAGTTCAAAAGACAAGACATCATCATGGGTGTGGTAGGGATAAAATAAATTGTCCCTTGCACACCGTTTTAACTTAAGAGCCACTCCAAGCCAGTCTCTTTAAATCAGGATTTCTGTAATGATGGCTTTTTGTGGGCCAGGGTGAACTTTTAACTTCGACGTTTTCCAAAGATAGAAGTAAGGACAGCCAGTCTGGAAATTTCTCCCAGGAATAAGTTTTCGCAAAGGCCTCTTGCAGGCTGTCCAGTTCTGCACTCAAGGACTCCCAATGCCACCTTATGGAAACTCAGGGAATTGCAGGGAGGTTTTACTCATCAATGAAGTCTGGGACCAGAAACCATGACAATTTTTTCTGATACAGGGATCCAAGACTTAGAAAGGTTTCTTATTTATACTCTTTCTCTCTTTGTATACGGCTGAACTAAAACAAGAACATTAAAATGCATGTTGTATTTTTAAGTGTGTTTTGAGAAGCACATTCCACAGACCTATCTAGAAAGTCAATCAGCTGACATTTTACACAGAACTTCATTCTTTGGTCTGTCTTTTGGTATAGAGGTGAACTTAGGATCAAGAGTGTATGTGAATATCTATACATCTATTCTAATTTCAGTCCTCAGGGCTTTACTTTTTTCCCCTCAAAAAACTCGGATTTCTTTTATATTGAATAAAACTAATATCTACTAAATCTTGTTTTTCTCTAAGCAAGACATATATGCTATAGATTAGTTCAATAAGAGCAAAGATACATGTACAGATATTTTCTTGGTTGCAAGAGTTGGTTTAGGGGTTTTTGTCTGTTTTAGAGTGTGGAATTAGAAAACAATTGCAAGGATGCTCTTATGCACGTGGGGGTTGGGGAGCTGCCTTGCAGTATGACTTGAGAGGAGGAAGGAAGGATTCCTTAAGTGCTCTCTGACTCCTAGCCTGGTATGTCTTTATTTCCTCAGCAGAGGCAAACTGACCCTGTTTAGTCACTGTTCCTGGTTAGATAGCCATGGTGCCTGGGAGGAGTACTAATCACCCCAAACAGCTTATTCCCCAGAAATCTGTGTGGTTTACACCCTTACTTCCTTTAGCTCTCTGCTCAAAGGTCTTAACCAGTGAGGGATTCCCTGACTGTTCTATTTGAAATGGCATCTATCCCTGTCACTTGTCCACCCAAGATACCTTATCCCTCTTTCCTTTCCTGTAATACCACCTCCAGAATCGGGATGAGCGTTTAGGAGAAGGGCAGTGCTTCTGAGACACAGGGGTGCCCAGTGTATGGCCTGCCTGCATTTCATTCCTGACTCTGCCTCTCACTTTGGTTTTCAGCCTGTCACTTACCCCTTTGTGACTTAGCTACTACTTAAAAAAAAGGGGTTAGAAGAGGTGATCATCAAATCCTGTCCAAAATTGTAATTTTGGTTCTAGTCAGAACGAACTTTCTTTGTTCTGAAATAAACTCAGGAAGGCCAGAATATGTCTGTTTTATTAATCCCAGCACCTCGTATGGTGCCCCAACTCATAGTAGATGCTTTATAAATATATCTGCTTTGATCTTGCCAAAGCCACCTTGAAGAAGGGACTGTCCTCAGTTTCTTTTCTTCTTTTTTTTGCAGCCTCACTGTACCACCTTTTCAGTAAGCAAGATGTGGAAGACCAGTTCTGAATAGCTGTGTCAGGATGGTAATGAACGGATGTCTGAGTAGGCACTGGCAGAACTCCGCAGAAGGGAAAGCATTTCCTTACTCACCTAAGAGGACAAAGATGCAGGCCAGGATGGCAATGAGGGCCCCCCGGCTCAAACTGACTGGGAGCATGTAGGCCTCTGGGTTGCAGGACATGACGTGGCCGTCGTCATCGCAGCTGCACACTTGGATGGTCAGTGTGCCTGTGCTGCTCAGCACCGGCTGCCCGCTATCTGCTATCAGGATGGGCAGGTAAAAGACACTCTGCTCCTGCTGCCGGAAACCAGACCTCCTGGTTAGAATCCGGGCTGTGTTATCTGAAAGAAGCAAGGGGTTCCAGGATTGGAAAAGGGAAGATGAATTAATTTCTTGGATTGAGGAAAGCAAGGGGGCAGGGGCAGGGTGTAGGAAGGAGAGAGGGTAGTCAAATGTTCCCTGGTGCTGGTCAGCCATGGCAGGTTTGCCTCGATCAGCATTTGGATTCAGAAACCACGCTTTTTGCTTGCTTTTAGGCAAAACCCTGAGGCCTAGAAGAGAAAGGCTTTTTTTGAGCCTGTCTTACCCTTTGTGACATAAAGTGCCCAAGGCAAACTGTCAGACTTCAGATCTAACAAAAATGTCCCTGGGAAAGCTTGACAGAAATGAACAATCACTGGTGACTTGTGGTCCCTGTTTGTTCCTGCTCAGCAGCTTGCCAAGGCCCCGTTGCTGCTTCGTGCCTCCAGGAAAAGAATGCTGAGGAACCCATGTGGCTGTGGCAGATTGCTTATTTTTGCCACTTTGGCTGGAATTCACGTCTTTTACTGTTTTCTTTTATGCCTCTGAAATGCAAGCACCAACTCCTCCTGTGTTTCCTAAAGAACCTGCTCATTTAGTAGAAGCTTATTTGAAATCCCCTAATCATATGACATACCTTGTTATTTCTCCTGAGTTGGTGTAACTTGAAGCAGTTAATATGAACTTGGTGAAAATTTGTTCCTGATCAATACTATAAATCTTTCCTTCAGTTTTAAAGAGGATTAGTCAAATTATTAGATGTGTTTCTACAAAGTTAGGGTGTGTGCGTGTATGTTTACATTTATATTCATATATTGTTTTGTGGGATTTTTTCATTTCTAAAATCTGTGTTCTCTAGTTTCCTGGAGTAGGTTTGAATTCTAAAGTAGATATACTTTTGCAAAGCTCAGATTATTTTCTGCAGAGGAAAAATTGAGAGATGTGGTAAGACATACAAGAAGTGATTTTCAAAACTAATAGCACCAGCACAGAGGTCCTGTGGATGTGTTTCATAGTTCATAGGAAAGAGCCTAGAACATCACCAAAAATTCTGAGAGCCTAACCAAAGTAAACATTATTAGTCATCATCAATATTTCTGGTTCTTCTTCCCTTTTTGAGCATAATAAAGGATTATAGTTTTCTGTGCTCTTACATGTGGATATGTCTGTGTGATTTGCTTTAGTTGATGAGCAATAGTGATTTGTGTTTCTTCTAGGGAGAAGTCTGTATGAGCTGATGTGTGAGTCTTCACGCTCTTTCCTTGCTGTAGTTACAGACAAAAGAACCACAGGGTATGAAATGCAGAGCCAGGCAGCCTGGGGCACTGAGCTCAGACTCACAGTAGGCTGTAGTGAGCAAGAAATTAACTAGTTATGCTAAGCCACTGAGATTTTTGTGGTAGTTGTTCCTATAGCATAACCTGGGCTATTCTTACTAACACATTACCCCTAAATTAACTTTTCCTCCTCCCCCCTGCGTTTTATGCTAACGGCTATTGTTACTAAAGGCTCCTGTGCCATGTACCTGCACTTTGTATGCAGTATCTCATTCTATCTTCACAATTTGGTGAGATAGTAATAATCTTACTCCTTTTCAGAAATAGAAGTAAGGCCTAGAATGATTTTATAATTTGCTTGAAGTCACTAACCTAGTTAGTAGCAGAGCTGGCCTTTGAACTTTGGTCTCTCTGTCTCCAAAACATGCACACTTTCCATTGTGCTATATAACTGCTTATTTAGTTTAGTAATACTAACTTTCAAAAAATAATCAGATAAGCAGAATCTCTTCCTGCTTTGATACAAGCTACTTCTTACTTTCTTCTCAGAAGAGAAAGGATGCCGACCTGAGGATTATATTCATATTTCCACCTACCACACAACCCACACACCTTTCTGTTTTCCATACTTAATAGTTAAGTACTACTGATTCCACTTTGTAGTTTTAATTGTTTTTTTCTTTTCAGAAATCAAATTTTTCTTTATAATGAGAACTGTTATTTAAAATTCTTTGGTTTAATCCAGGTGAGGTCATACACTTTTAGAAAGACTGTCTAGAGCTGAAATTCATAAAAGTATTATATCTATAACATACATATTTCTACATCTAAGAATTATTTAAGATTGAAGAGAAATATTAGAGCATCACATTGCTAAGTCCAGTGCTGGAAGGAGCCTGGCCTATAGTAGCCACTTGGAAAATTTTTGTTGAATGTGATAATTAGGGCTTTGGTAACTTACTTGGAAACAGCATTTTTTCCTAAGGTGACACAGAACACTTTGTGTGTGTGGAGGAGCAGGGGGCGTTGTTGTGGTGGAGGGGCGTAGTAAAACAGGACCCAATTTCTAGTCCCAATTTTAACGCTTATTGACTCTCTGGTCTTGGGCCATTTGCTTACTTTCCTCATCCATCAGATGGGACAATAAGAATCAGAGGGATTAATAACTTCCTTAAAGCCTCACAGAATTATTGTAAATATCAAATAAGGTATGGGAAAATACTTTTGAAACTGTAAAGTACTGTATGCACATAATTCTTTTCATAATGTTTTGGGGCTAAAAAGTAAAAAAAGACTTTACTTAAGATAGTTCCCTGTTGTGTTCATAAAAGGACATTATGTTTCAGGCATGGGAACAGAGGTAGTTGACGTAGATCTGCCCTGTAAGATATTAGTCAGTTTTTGTTGTGTTGGGTTTTTTTAGAGACAGGATCTTGCTCTGTCACCCAGGCTGGAGTGCAGTGGTTTGACCATAGCTCACTGCATCCTTGAACTCCTGGGTTCACGTGATCCTCTCACTTCAGCCTCTCAAGTAGCTGGGACTACAGGTGCATGCCACCATGTCTGGCTAATTAAAAAAAAATTGGTAGAGATGGTGTCTTGTTGTGTTGCCCAGGCTGATCTCAAACTCCTGGCCTCAACTGATCCTCCTGCCTCAGGTTCCCAACTAGCTGGGACAAAAGGTGTGTGCCATCATGCCTGGCTAATTTTTAAAAAATGTTTTGCAGAGATGAGGTCTTGCTGTGTTGCCCAGGCTGGTCTTGAACGCTTGACATCAAGTATTTCTCCTTCCTCAGCTTCCTGAAGTGTTGGGGTAACAGGCATGAGCCACTGTGCCTAGACTTGGTCAGTTTTTAAATGAGCCTCAGTAAAGGATACTCATGGGATAATTGTCATTTGGAGATTAAGAGTTCATGCTTTCTGTTGAAGATGTGCTGACTTCTGTTTTGGGAAACCTTCCAAGAGATGAGTTACATTTTACTGTTGTCCTGTGCCTGTGGCCCATCTTTTTAAGGAATTGATTCCATAAACTGGTTCCCAAAGTCATCTTTAAGAAATTTTCAACATTTTGCTGCATTTTGTTTCACTTATTAGAGTGATGGCTTAGCCGCACAGTTAAAGAAAAAATATAATGCGTTATAATGGGTTATTCTTCCCCCCAGGGTTGCCTTTATAAAACAGTCCTATGGAAGTTGAAACCACTCTTTGCAGAAATAGTTTCCCTACGAAGCAAATAAATGAATAGTTCAAAATTTTGACTCAATAAAAACTTCAGGATATTTAATTGAAGTATTTCTGCCTTTATAATTCATATTGCCATTCCTTCCAGAATTTTTATAGTGGTTTTATGATGACATGTAGGAGGTTGAAGGCGTGACTTAGAAGAATGTGTTACCATTTAGAAGAAAACAGGTTTGAGAGTCTCAATTTTTACAGCAGAAAACTGTCATGTGGGGTTGAAGTAATACATGTAATCTCAAATAATTGATGTTTGAGACTAAAGCCAGGTGTGCCTAACCTAATCATGACTTTTTGTTACCCTTTGCTTAGAGTTTTACAAAGTGGCAATTCATATTTTAGAACTGGAATGAAAATGAGGCTACTGCAATCTGGAGAAGTGATGACCTTCCCAGGGTCAGATGGCTCGCTGGCAGCAGAGTTAACAACAGATGAGGTTCATTTGACAGTTTAACTCATTTTTTCCATTGCCCTGACCTTTTTTATTCTTTTGAAGCAAATCAACTGGCTAGAGAACAAAAGTCCTTCCTTTTCCCATCTGGGCCCAAATAAGAGTGTGCTGGGTCCATGAGCCCCTTAGCTGATCTGAATGCTTGTTGGAAAAGGGGAGTCTAGAATTCTATTCCATCAGAGCTATAGTGGGGAGCATTTTCTGGACAGGGAAGCCTACCTGAAAGTGTGTCTTTGAATCATCCTAAAGTAATAAAGCTGTTTCAATGCCAATGGTCCTGTATGTGCCCTTTGTTATCTCTTTTACTTACCCTTTGTCTCCTTTTTGTTTGGAGAGCTTTTTACTGTTTCCTACTTTGATCTCTGCTTAGAAATGTTCCCCCAGGTTTTTTTCTTTTTAATCTAGGTCACTTTCTTATTTCTCAGATTCTTCCCATTGTTACAGAACATGTGAATAGGGCTGCTGCTAGTGAGAATGAAGGATTTTGCCTCTGTGCTTTGCAGTGTTTCTAGCACAGGACAGGCGCTCAGTAAACATCTGTCGACTTACTGACTGAAAGAGTTTTAGAATTGGCAAAGGGTTATTTATGTTTGGTATTCTGAAACAAAACTTTAAAAGACACTGTGAGGCTGGGTGGAGTGGCTCGCACCTGTAATCCTAACACTTTGGGAGACTGAAACAGGACGATTGCTTGAGGCCAAGAGTTCAAGACTAACCTAGCCAACATAGACATCATCTCAAAAAAAAAAAAAAAAAAAAAGACACTGTGAATTATTAAAGTCCTCTCTGCTGTTAAGGAGCAGGTAGCCTTTGACACTGTTTGCGTAAGACAGTAACCCAAAGTAGCTGGCCTACATTGTAGAAAAGCATAGATAGCCAACTATCCACCTGATTACCTTGGTTGTCCCTTATGGTGAAATTGGGGTTGTTAGCAGCCTCAGGAGCCAAGCTGTAGTAGAAATGCTGGCCATTGAGTGGGTCGTCTTGGTCCACTGCGCTCACTGTCTGGATCAGCTGAGGAAGGGACATGAAATCAGGTGAGCTGGAGCCAAAGGAAAAAGCACCAGGGCCCAGTTAAATCCCAAACCTGGAAACACGATGGTGGGTTGTTTTACCTAATTAGAAGGATATCATTGATATGGGAGAGGAGCAGGGAAGTGCTGGATAGAGAAGGGCATGATCCCTGGGAAGGGCTGCACCCGCTGGCCTGTGTCCACAGACCTAATTAAGAACAGGCACTCCTGTTTTCAGGCCCAAATGTTGCATTTTCCAAGACCACTCTGGCTGCCACACCCACCATTCTGTACCCATAAAAACCCAAGACATTAGTAGGCATAGACACAAGCAGCTGGATGTTGAGAGGAGAAGAGGAGCACACCAGCAGACACTGGCAGACACTGGCAGACTAGCACCGGTAGAATGATACGGATGCTGAGGGGAGTTCAGCACAGGACAGTCAGAAAAGATTCTGGCCACTGGGCATCCTGAATCCAGGGGAAGACCACCTTCTTACTCCATCCCCCACTTCCGGCTCCCCACCCATCTCACTGAGAGCCACCTCCACCGCTCAGTAAACCTTGCACTAAACCCTCCAGCCCACGTGTGATTGTCTAGCACATGGGCAAGAACTCAGGCTATCACACTGGCCTTCTGTCCTGTGATAAGGCAGAGGGTCTATTGAACTAATATGACATAGCTGAAAGAGCACACTGTAACACATGCTCACTTGGGCTTCCGGAGTCCTATACACTACCGTGGGGCCAAAGCCCAAAAGCGCTCCCCAAGGCTTCTGCACCTGCTCATCTGCCTGCTCCCCCTAGGGGTTTGAGCAGCAGCGCACTCCCCTGTCCTACTGGAGCAGGGGTTGGGGGATAGGGGTGTGGGGGTGTGGGGTATGGATAAGGGAACTTTCCCGTTTTATAAGAAACTTCCCTGCAGAATCTCCCTGCTGTCACCTGCCTTGGGATTTAATTTTGCTTTATGGTTGGGCTCAAGTATGTTAGTAGGCATAGGATAAATGTTACCTAAATACTTCAGAGGTTAGACAGCAATATAACTTACAACCATCCACCACGGCCAGCTGTTTCTATGCAGTCTAAAGGGCTCAGGTGCCACAAAGTCCTGCTTGACCCCACATTTTCCTCTCACTTTGTCTGCCTAACCTCATCACTGGCCCAGTATTTCAGGGCTGCATTACTGTCTTTGAGAAGCCCCTATTTAAGAATGACCATGACCTGAAGGGAAGTAGCACATCGGCATTGGCCACGTCAGGTTAACAGAAAACAGACATGAGGGAATGGGTCACAGGGAGTCACATTTTGTTGGCAGGAGGGAGAGCTAGCGAAGGTAGAGAGCACAGGATCCCTAGAGTGGGAAATGCAGAATAGACGAGTCAGAAGCAGAACTCAGGGGTGGAGAGGGCAGGAGGTCAGGTGGCTTCTTCTCGGACTCTTTGGCCAAGTTTTGCCTTTTCTGTAATGTTTTTCAAGGGAGTCAGTTTCAGGATGTCTGTGGAGATCATGATGTAAAAGCTATTAAAGAAATCTGTGTGAAACGACGACTGGAACAGTTGCCTGCAGGCTGAGGGGGATACAGAAGAGGCATTGAAAGGCAGCCTCCTTCATATGTGTTTTCTCTTGTACCAAGAAACAGCACAGACTGCTCCTACCCATCTTGGGACCAGCCCTGTAGACTTGCCACTCCTGCTATTTGAAAGTCAACTATGCTTCTACCAGCATAGGAACCAAGATGTCAAAGGTCAGTTTGAGGGCCCGGTGGGCTTCCTTAGTTTGTATTTCTTCAGCTCTAAACTAGGGGAGGTAAAGCTACCCTCACAATATGCTGAAGATTAAGTAATGTGGTAGGGGTGGGGGAAGCTCCTAGCAGGGGGCCTTTTGGACACCGTGATGCCCAGATCCCCCTTCAATGAAGGACTTTTCCCCCAGCCATCATCTGCCAGTCCCTTTGGGGATTGCCTGGGGATTGCCAGTTGCAGAGAACCACCTACCCATCCCTATGGTTTGGATATTTGACCCCTCCAAATCTCATGTTGAAATCTGATCCCCAGTGTTGGGGGTGAGGCCTGGGTGGGAGGTGTTGGGGTCATCCAGGTGGATCCCTGATGAATGTCTTGGTGCTGTCTTCCTGGTAATGAGTGAGTTCTTGCTCTCTTTGTTCCTGTGTTAGCTGGTACAAAGAGCCTGGCACCTTCCTCTCCCTGCCTTGCTTGCTCTCGCCACGTGATCTGCGCATGTCAACTTCCTTCCCTCTTCCTCCATGTGTGGAAGCAGCTTGAGGCCCTCCCTAGAGGCAGATGCTGTCGCCATGCCTCTTGTACAGCCTGCAGAACGGTGAGCCAAATGAACCTCTTTTCTTTATTAATTACCCAGCCTCAGGTAATCCTTTGTAGCAATACAAACTGAGCTGCCCATGGTCACCACATCCTTCCAGGGCAATGGACGTCCAGTGACTAACTAATGTGATAGTACACAGGCCTGGCCATCGAACTCAAATTGGGGAAACTCTAGTTCTGGAACTCTCTGAGAAGTCAGCTGAGGCAGTTAGTGAGTCTGCACTGCGGCTGGACTTCTTTTGCCCAGTCCTGCTTCCTTCGCTTCCCTCCCACAGGTGCTGGCCCCAAGGGCCCTCCTTAGTAAACACCTTATACTGGAACTCCATCTCAGGTATGCCTCCTGGAGATCCCAACTATTGAACCTGAAAGTAGGGGGAAAGGAGATGCAAGGAAGGGGAAGGGCAGGAGAGTCATGGAGATCAAGTTGCCCACAAGAGATCCTCGTGTCAGTGCTGCGCGCACTCCAGGATTATCCTCCTGTCCTATCCCTGCCTGGAGATAGAGCCAGAACTTTTCAGCTTGCTTGTAGTGCCAAACGCATATAGAGGTAACATATTTCTTGAGGCATGTCACACATAGGTGATTTTACATTACTTGATAAACATAGTTGGGAAAGTTTTTCAGAACATCTGGCCTGCTTATTGTGTATATATTTGTGAGATTGGGGCCTGAGGCACAGAGCTCGTTGGTTATAGGGTTTCAAAGTGTGAGTGAGTGAGTGAAGACGCAGATTGCTAGGTCTGGGTTGGGAGCATATGGCCTGCTCTCCTCTGTATTCTCCTGGCAGGTCAGATTTCTTCCTCAGTCTCACTTGTCATGCAATATTCTGCTCAGCTGGTTTCATTCCGCCCTTGGCCATCACCAAGCATGTTATCTGATTTATGAGCTTCCTTCAAGGCTGCTTACTAAGAGGAAGGCATGTATCTGGACTTGTCATATGTGAAGCCGACGACAGTGTCCAACGTAAACACAAGGAGGCCTGATTCTTTATGAGCCAGATGTATCTCTGTGCTGCATGCTTTTGAAAAATCTTCAAAACATTTCCCAGAGCCCAGATCAAAGGGTAGGATTTTCAATATCTTGGTCTAAAGGTGACAAATGGGACAGACTGAACTTGAAGTGGCAGATAAGCTGTGCTTCAGAGCACTGTATAACAGACCATCAAAAGATGCATTTAGAAATGGGGACTATGCTTGTCTGACTGCAGCAACAGGAGAGAGAGTTAAAATGCTCTTCACTTGTCAGAATGTAACTTCTCCTATTCTGAAGCCCTTTAAAAGGGAGTGGTTTATTTTTGGGGGAAAGAAGTTTAATTTACAGTGCTACTTATCACCCTCTTTGTATTATAGATTAAAATTAGCTTATTTCATCATAACAAAATATTCATATAATTTTATAACAAAAGTTTTTCTTATATTACATATATATTTTATTATAATATAAAACAATATTATTATTATTATTATTTTTGAGACAGAGTCTCACTCTATCGCCAGGTGCCAGGCTGGAGTGCAGTGGCACAATCTCAGCTCACTGCAACCTTCGCCTCCCGGGTTCAAGCAATTCTTCTGCCTCAGCCTCCCAAGTAGCTGGGACTACAGGCACACGCCACCACACCCAGCTAATTTTTGTATTTTTAGTAGAGACGGGGTTTCACCATGTTGACCAGGATGGTCTTGATCTCTTGACCTGGTGATCCGCCCGCCTCGGCCTCCCAAAGTGCTGGGATTACAGGCTTGAGCCACCACAATATTATTAAAGACCCAAACCTCCTCACTTAAACTCACCTACCTTAGCACAGTAACTATACTTCTTTTGCATCTTCCCTCTCAATCATTGTTCACTTGCAGTCAGAATTTTACATAACTGCAAACATGTATGTGTAGTTCTTATGCCTCCTTTCTTTACTTATAATAACATGGATCATTTCTTGTGCTGTAAAGTCTACATTATAACTTTTATTAGCTGCATAATATTTCAGGTCTTACTAGACTAGAAATTCACTAGATGTGGAAGGAGAATTATCCTAGACTTGTTGAAAAAAATTTTTTTAGGAGGGCTATAGGCCACTGTACCAAATTTCAAGGATTGATAGATAAATTTAGATCAGAATCGTGATAGAACATCTTTCTTCCCCTAAGGGATGTAAATCACTTTTTGCTTTGGCTGAGTAAATGAAAAAGATGTGTTGAATCCATCTTTGGTGAGTTCAGGGTACTTACATAAGTTTTGGTTATGCAGACCTAGTCTCTCTGTGCAGCAAGGTGCTGGAGGTCCGGTTCCAAGGGAGTGAGAGAAGTGAAGTGATATAGTTTGGCTTTGTCCCCACACAAATCTCATCTTGAATTGTGCTCCCATAATTCCCACATGTTGTGGGAGGGGCCCGATGGGAGATAATTTAATCATGGGGGTGGTTTCCCCTATACTGTTTTCGTGATAGTGAATAAGTCTCATGATAGCTGATAGTTTTATAAGGGGTTTCCCTTTTCACTTGGCTCTCATTCTGTCTTGCCTGCCACTAAGTAAGATGTCCCTTTCGCCTTCCACCACAATTGTGAGTCCTCCCCAGCCACATGGAATTGTGAGTCCATTAACCTTCTTTTTCTTTATAAATTACCCAGTCTTGGGTATGTCTTTATCAGCAACATGAAAACGGACTACTACATGCAGGCAAAGTTAGATTACAGTCAGAGGCCTGAATTACCAACACATGAGCCCCTGCCTTATCAACATGTACTTCCCCAGCTTTCATGTTAAAGCCATCCCAATCCCTTTGATCCAGCACCAGCATCCACAGGACTACAGGATATACTGGGGTGGGGAAGGGGAGTAAATGAGGACTATTAGGGGATCTGTCAGGTTGCTGGGTCATAGGCAGGGGAGGAAAGCATCTTATAAAAGCAGGAACAGAATGGAGGAGATAGATGGACAAATTATAGGATAGGCAACAGCCTGACACATGCATTACTACATGGGCACTCCAAACGGAGTTCCAGAGTTTCTCAAATTCTAATTGTTGTTCAATTAGAATCTCATCAACTAAATATTCAGTTAGGTTTATATGTCTCTGAAGATTATGGAGCTATATTTCAAATACGTAGACCTTTGTCCCTTCAGATTACTTTCTTCTCAAAACTTACCTGACATGAGCAGCACTAAGAAAGTGCATCTTTTAATTGAGGGAGAAGAGAGGGTAGGTCATTCTAGGTGGCAGCATTCTGAGATAGGCCAGGCAGTCCCTAAATAAGGTATTTCTTGGCAGAAGTTAAAAAAGAGAGGTGGAAAGATAGAGAAAATAAACTTGCCCTGATGCAAAATATTTTGAGGAGTTGGTACCACACTCGAAAAAGAACAGCTTTTTCCTCCTTTTCCTGGTCTACCTGACACTTTCAGGCCCCAGAGCAGATGTTATCACCACTGGTGCTACACAATTCAGTTTCCAGGTAGGCACAAACCTTATGCAGCTATCCTGTGTAAGCCACCCTCAAAGTGCTGTTTAAGCCATAAAAGGTAATGTAGGTTCCAAATAGCTGTCTTTTTGTTTTTTTACTTTTTTAGAGATGGGGTCTCACTATGTTGCCCAGGCTGGTCTCAAACTCCTGGGCTCAGACTATCCTCCTGCCATGGCCTCCAAAAAATGCTGGGTTTACAGGCATGAGCCACCACACCTCATCTCAAATAGTTGTCTTAACAAATAAGTGGTTGAAACCTGATATATGGGAACTGGGGACTCTGTTTTGTGAACTGTTGGTTTCTGGAGTCAAAATAGCTTTCACGGTGAGCTTGGTTATCTGTAACAATTGTTTCCAAACATTAGGAGTTAACAAGGTGCACCACCCACAGGCCACCTTACCTGTCCTGCCTTGGCGTTCTCACAGACAAAAGCTTCATAGAATCTGGGGAACTCTGGAGCATTGTCATTCACATCTAAGACTTTGATTGTGACAGGAACACTTCCAACCTGGGAGGGATTATCTAAAGAGAACACAAGGAGAGCCAAACGTGGGAGTTTAGAGTTTAGTAATGCCAAAAAAAAAAAAAAAAAAAAAAAAAAAAAAAAGGGGGGAAAAAAAGGGTAAAAAAAAAAAAAAAAAAAAAAAAAAAAAAAAAAGAGAGAGCAATGGCCGTTGCTAGAAGTAGGTATTTACCTGGTGAGTCTGTGTTGAAAGGAGTGGATAAAGTACCTGGAGATGGTAGCAAGAGCATAGGATCCTATGTTGCCTACTAACAATGTGGCTGGACATAAGGAGTTTGGACAGAACAAGGTGTGTGTTGGTGAGCGTTTGCTATCAGCAGTGTGAGGGGAAGGGTGAGACAAAGGGAGCCAGTGTCAGAAAATGAATCTTAAAAAGAGGTTTTCAACCTCTCATTTGGCTCAGACTTCAAGTTCTGGAATTAAAGGCAGGTCAGTTTTATTTTCTGGGCTTTAAAAGAGCCCATTGCCAATTGGATGCATACTGTGTGGCATTGCTTGGTTTTATTCCTGTGGAATCGTCCATTCTTTGAATTACATTTGCAAATGTTTCAAGTTATTCACTGGAATAAAGATAACACTACACATTTATTTCTGCTTAGGGACAGGATATTACAGGATCAAACACACACCAAATCCATAGCTTTGGCTGGTGCACAAGTTGCTCATAGTCACTTATAGGGAACTGTGTCTTTGTGGTCTGTCTTTTGCTTGGCACTGCCATGCAGAGACAATTTCACAGCTCTGGTAGTGCCCCTCCTGTCTTTTTCTGTTTTGGTCACCACCCCAAGGAGACAAAACAGAAATTGCAAGAGACAGAAATTATTCTTGGTTAATAATTTTACTAAATCCCCAAATGCACTGTTCTTCTGGATCATATTTTTCTTTTTTTCTTTCCCCCAAATATCTATGTTCTACCGTTTTCCCCCTAAACACTTCTATTGCTTGGTTACCAGAATGCGCTAACAAAATTAACATTTATTTCTTCATTATAACAGTGGTGTTTGTCTAAGGAATGATGAAAATTCCAGAAAAGCATAGGATGAATATGATTCACAATCCTACCACCAGAGACATCCATTAGATATGTGACATTATATAGCATGGGTGTCCAAAATTGGAGCTATACACCCTCCCCCAACATACAAGTTGCAGTTAAGCAAAACAGAAAAATCAAATTCAGAACATTAATATTTTAGAGTAAGGTTATCCTTTGTCACTGAATATGTTTTGAAAGCATGGGTGTTGATGTCTGTATTATATTGTCATTTTACTATAGGTTGTACCATAATTTATTTAATCTCCTATTAGTAGACATTTAAGTAGTTTCCATTTTCTCCCTATTTTAAAATACCATGGCAGTGGAAATTTTCACATATAAATCTTTGTTGATACCTGTCATTATTTCCTTAATATGATGATTGACCGTAGAATTCCTGAGAGAAGGAGTATGACTATTTTGGAGAATCTCAATACATATTGCCAAACTGCCCTCCTGAATGGCTGTTAATTATATAGCCAATAGGTTAGGGACTGCCATTTTTCTAAGCCTTTACCGTCACCAATATTATGAAAAAAAAAAAAAATGGAATGTAGTAGTGTATAATCTAATTTTTATTAAGTTTATAATATATATTAATCTAGTTCTTATTAATCTTCCATTCCATTTACAAGTTTATTATGTCAATCAATTTGCCTTTTATTGTAAGATGTCTCAGATTCTTGTGGGCATGGATATGTATATGTGTGTATAATAAGAGTGATACATTATAAATGCTTCCTTTCATACAATAATATTTTATACTCTTTGTGCGTTCACAGTTATATTAAAGATTGAAAGCCCCTTAGATTTCTCAGGAATCTTCCCTTTTCCTCATAGCTGCTTGGGATAAGAATGCTATCTTTTACTACTTTTCCATGTTTTGTTTGCTTTTATCTCTAGCACAGGACTAAGCATATAGGAGATCCTCAAAAAAGTATTTGCACTGAATGCATTTACTTACTTGCATAAAGCATGACTTCCATTTCTTCCCTTAAAGGATGTAATTTTTGTCACAACAAGTTCTAGAAACTTCCACTTTCTATACCGCCTATATTTTGTCACTGCATGAAGACCAATTTATTATGCTACTTACTCATTTCCATAGCAAGGACAGTGATATTATGCCAAGAAAATTCTTCCCGGTCCAGGGGTCTTGCAGTCATTAGGGCACCTGTTGTAATGTCAACATAGAAAAATCTTCCAGGGTCACTGCTTCTATCAATGGAGTATCTGCAGAAACATGGATTATATACATCATTTGCATTTGGATAAGCATATGACAGCATACCACATGAGAGAACTGAGTGCCTATCATGTGGAAATATGGTTCCCCCACTTCTGAGTTATGGCTACTGGAAGACTGCCTTCGTGGTTTTATTTGTTCCAAAAAAAAAAAATCACCTCCTCCTCCAATAAACAAAACAAATACAGCTTCAATTTTCTCATTCAAAAAATGAAATAAACAGGATGCCAACAGTCTTGGGGCAGTTTTAAGCTATTTAAATATTGGTTTAATGCTATTTAATGCTTGGAACTACCCCAAGAATTTTGGGACATCCTGAGTATCGAACCCTACCTATATTTGTTTAAAAGAAATTGTATTCAAATGAGTTCTCAAATGCTAATCTGAAACTAGAAAAGGTGAAAAGGTATAGTTTAGTGGGTCCAGTCCTTGTAATCTGTATCAACTATTCAGAAGGAAAGCTTTGTACCAGGCTCTTTGGTAACATGCTAACGACCCGCTTTCTGGCAAACAAAATAATGGTAGTGTATTTACTTGCTGGAGAGTCCTTATCGATGGTATGCTTTTAGCAGGATGGACCAGATCTGGCTAGGTTGTTTACTGTAAAAAAAACCCTGGAGTTTATGAATTTGTGGGATACAGCCTGCTGGAAGATGTCACATAAGCTATGTAACTAATGGTGTATAACAAGCAAATGTTCCATAACAAAAATGGATCTTTGTGTTCAAGCAATGCACTTCACCCATTGCTTCCACCTTTCATGTTCAGCCTGGACCAACATGCATCTTTATGCAAGAAAAGGACATTTATGGGCACCTGTGCCTGACAGTTTTAGCACTCTCCAAGGGTAGAATGACTCATATTTTGCTGTTGTCTGTATCATTTGAGCCATTAGTTAACTAGGTCCTGGGTAAGATCTGCATTTCCGGTTGAATCTGATTTGGAATTCTGTTGTGTGGTCTCATCTGTGTTATCTTGTCTGGTCCCCATCTTGGAAAATTTAACAAATATGGAGGGAGGCTCAGGCATGTGGAAATTAAAAACCCTCTATAGAGGATATAGGGATTTTGATATGTAGCTATGATTGAGAACCATCAATGAGAACTTATGTAGTCCTTGGTAAAGGCCAAGTAGTTTTTATCATTTTTATTAAAACATTTTTTTTTTTGAGATGGAATCTTGCTCTGTTGCCCAGGCTGGCGTGCAGTGGCATGATCTCAGCTCACTATAGCCCTGCCTTCCAGGTTCAAGCGATTCTCCTGCCTCAGCCTCCCAAGTAACTGGAATTATAGGCACCCTCCACCATGCCTGGCTAAGTTTTCTATTTTTAGTAGACACATGGTTTCATCATGTTGGCCAGTCTGGTCTCGAACTCCTGACCTCAAGTGATCCACCTGCCTCAGCCTCCCAAAGTGCTGGGATTACAGGCATAAGCCACCTTGCCTGGCCATTTTAATTTTTTTAATTGACAAGTAATAACTGTATATATTTATGGGGTACAGTGTGGTATTTTGATACATGTATACTTCGTAGAATGAACAAATCAGGCTGATTAACATGTCTATTACCTCACATAGGTATTTCTTTTCGCAGTAAAACCATTTAAAATCTATTCTTTTCATAATTTTGAAATATACAATACATTATTATGAGCTATAGTTGCCATGCTGTGCAATAGATCACAGGAACTTATTATCCCTCACTGAAGCGTTGAACCTTTTGACTCTTTTCCCTGTTTGCCCACCAGCCTCTGGCAGTCACCACTGTACTCACTACTTCTGCGAGTTTGACTTTCTTAAATTCTACATATAACTGAGATCATGTGGTATTTGTCTTTCTGTGCGTGGCTAATTTAGCATAATGTTGTCTAGATTCATCCATGTTGCAAGTAACAGAATTTATTTCTTTTTTAAAGCTGAATTGAATATTTAAGGCTGAAATGAATATTCCATTGTGTATATATGCCACGTTGTTTTTACCCATTCATCTGTTGATGGGCACTAAGGTTGTTTCTGTATCTTAGCTACTGTGAATAATGCTGCAGTGAATATGAAAGTGGAGACATTCTTTGACATACTAATTTCAGCTCCTTTGGACGTATACCCAGAAGTGAGATTGTTGGATCATATGGTAATTCTCTTTTCAGTTTTTTTGAGGAACCTCCATACTGTCTTCTAAAATGGCAATACTAACATTCCGATCAGCAGTGTGCAAGGCTTCCCTTTTTCTACACACCCTAGCCAACACTTAAGTTTCTTGTTTTTGACAACAGACATTCCAACAGGTGTGAGGTGATATCTCATTGTGGTTTTAATTAGCATTTTTCTGATGATTAGTGATGTTGAGTATTTTTTCATGTATCTACTGGTCATTTATATGTCTTCTTTTGAGAAATGTCTGTTCAGGCATTTTGCACATTTTTTAACAGGGTCATTTGTCCTAATTTTGAGATAATATTACAAGCTGTAGTAATTAAAACAGCTGGAATTAAAACAGACACATCAACCAACTAAAAAGGAAAGAGAGCTCAGAACTGAACTAATGGGTCTCAGTCAATTAACTGATTTTTGACAAAGGTTCCAAGAACACATAATGGGGAAAGGACAGTCTCTCCAATAAACAATGTTGAGACAATTAGATATCTATGTGCAGAAGAATGGAAATGGACCCTTATCTGACCCCATATGCAAGAATCAAAATGGATTAAAGACTTAAATGTTAAGACCTGAAACCATCAAACTACTAGAAGAAACCTTAGGGGGAGAGCTCCACAATGTAGGCCTGGGCAATGATTTCTTGGATATGGCCCCAAAAGCACACACACGCCAAAGCAAAAATAGACAAATGGCATTGTGTCAAAGTAAAAAACTTCTGCATAACAAAGGAAGCAATCAACAGAATGAAGAGACAACCCACAGATTGGGAGAAAATATTTGCAATTCTTTTCATAGAATAAGGGACTGATATCCAAAATATATAAATAATTCAATAACAAGAGAACAACCCTATGTTTAAAAGACCAGTAATTACAACAGTTGCCACTAACTGAATATCAGGCACTTCACTATGTACTTAATACACAGCTTCTTTTAAAATTGTTTCAACATCTCAGGGAGGTAGTTATTATCCCAATCAACAGATAAGGAAACTGAGGCTTAAAGAAGTCACCTTTTTTTCTTTCTTTAGAAGTGGATTCTTCCTCTGTCACTCAAGCTGGAGTGGTGCAGTGGCATGACCAAACTCACTGCAGCCTCAGACTCCTAGGCTTCAGTGATCCTTCTGCTTCAGGCTCCTGAGTAGTTGGGACTAGAGGCAGTACCACTCCACTTGGATGGTTAATTTTTTTTTTTTTTTTTTTTAGCAGAATCTTGCTGTGTTGCCCAGGCTGGTCTCAAACTTCTACCCTCAAGTTATTTTCCTGCCTCAGCCTCCCAAATAGTTGGGATTATAGGCATAAGCCACTGCAACCAGCTGTAGTCACTTTTATGCAGTTACGCAGGCAACAATTTGCAGAGGTAAGATGTGAAGCCATCTTTATGGAGTTATAAGTATTTGTGTTTTACTTTAAGCCATATATACAAAGTTACAATTACTGTGTTCTTATAGATTATTTAAATAGGGGCTGGGGCATATATTGGGTTCCAAATTTGATTTAAAGTCACCAGCAACTGCAATCCATATCTTGAAGTGTAGAGACAGAGATGCAGCAATTTTGGAGGGAATAAACAGTTTCTTTACTATAGTGCATTGTTTTTCAGATACAGGTTAGCGGATTGTGAAATCAATATGGGTTATGATTAGTATAGAAAGAAAATGAAGTAGAATAGAATATATGCATGCCAGACTATCACATGCAGTAAGGGTAAACATTGATGTAAAACTTTTGTTTTATATATATGTGTGTATATATACATGTATATGGTTGTGAATATATAGCTATTGTTGGTAAAATGTATTGTTTCAAATATAGTGTATTAGAAATTAGGAATTAAAGAGAAAGCTGATGCGTAAGGGCTAGATAAATCAGAATCATTTAAGTTATGACTCCCTAAGAGTTAGGAAATTTAAGGAAGAAAATTAATGTTTCCCTCTGCCTGTGACCCTATTTAGTGAACATTTACTGTATGCCAGGCACTGCTCAGCACACACCACCTATATGGACTCATTTAATCTTTATAATAACACCACAAGGTAGGCACCATTATGATCCTCATTTTACAGGTAAGAAAACTAAGAAGTAGAGAGTTTAGGTCCCTTGCCCAAAGTCACAGTGCTGGGAATCAATCCCAGGCAATCTGGCTGCAGGTTTCTGCTCCCAGCCACCAGGCCATGCTGCCTTACTGACACATAGTCTATAGGAGATTGTCTAAGGAAACAAGACTTTATCTTTTAAAGATAAGAGTGTGTACTAATCCGCTCTCACACCGCTAATAAGGACATATTCAAGACAGGGTATTTTATTTTATTTTATTTTATTTTATTTTATTTTATTTTATTTTTTAGAGATCCATTGGAACTTTTATTAAACTTTTTTCTTTTTTTTTTTCCCCATTTATTTATTTTATTGCATTTTAGGTTTTGGGGTATATGTGAAGAACATGCAGAATTGTTGCATAGGAACACACATGGCAGTGTGATTTGCTGTCTTCTTCCCCATCACCTACATCAGGCATTTCTCCCCCTGCTATCTCTCCCCAGCCTCCCACCCCCCACCCTACCTCCCCTATTTCCCCCCAACTGACCCCAGTATGTAGTGCTCCCCTCCCAAGACAGGGTATTTTATAAAGGAAAGAAGTTTAACTGACTCACAGTTCAGCTTGGCTGTGGAGGCCTAAGGAAACTTACAGTTATGGAGAAAAGGGATGCAAACATGTCCCTTCCATGGTGGTAGGAGGGAGAGTGAGTGCCAAGGGAAGGGGAAGCCCCTTATAAAACCATCAGATCTTTTGAGAACTCACTACCTGGAGAACAGCATGGGGGAAACCATCCCCATGATTCAGTTATCTCCACCTTGTCCCGCCCTTGACACATGGGGATTGTTGCAGTTCAAGGTGAGGTTCGGGTGGGAACACAGAGCCAAACCGCATCAGAGTGACAGTGAATAGTTGCCTTTTTAATACAGAAAAACGTATGCTGCAGAATTAATTTACAATGGACCAGATTATTATTTTTAAGCGTAAACTGTTACTTAGTTTTAAATTCTACTATTTTAAGAATTGAATTTTCTCTAAATTAAAAAGCAAAACAAAACACTGATTGGCTCATGACAGCCTTCTCTTTCAGTTTTCCACACATGTGAAGAGCCAGCATGTGGTCCACGCAGCCATCTCCCTGATGGCAGCTCTTCAGGCTGCAGGCATGATGCCAGGGGGAGAGGCAGCCTATGAGAAAGAAGCTTTCTATACCCAAACCTATGGCACCATAGCAAGTGTCACAGATGGCATGGGAGAGGGAGTGATAGAAATAACTAACCCACAGGACCCCTGACAGCACTGCCAGGGCTGACACACCAGAAGCCTTCCTCAGAGAAGCCTCCCTCATCGAGGGGAATCCCTCTCCAATTTCTCCAACAGGGCCTGAATCGAGGGAATAATAGCCTTTGTTTCCCTAAATGGGATGCTGGGTAAATTTTCAGGAGGCGGAGAAAAATTAAAGGTATAGATTCAGATGGAAAATGAGGAAACTGGGACACACTCGTGAATTATGTAGGTGATTTTCCTTTCTTAACCATTACATTCTTACCTCCTGTGAGCAGAATCGGCATCACACAAGTACAAAGCTGCCCAGAGCCAGCGGTAGCTGGTGCTTTCCAGACTGTCTGCTTGTTGCCTAGCTGAGGACATCTGAATTTGGGAGCAATTTGGAGGTGGGGTATCAGAAGAAGGCTGGCTAAATCCACACACATTCTGAGAAGGAACTAGGGGGAGGCAGTTTCCACATCAGCAGAAGCCTCTTTCAGTTGCCAAATGGCTCAGTATCCTGCTTGTCAGAGTCCTTGAGCATGTATTAAAAATTCAGGGGATTCAAGCATTGTCTTTTCATGTACCTATCACTAAATCTGGAGATTCTGTTTTGGGGCTTACTAGTTAATGAGGACCAGCATATATTCCTGAACACACCATCAACTTTCTAGAAAGGAAATGATAAAAGTCCTTATAATCTTTGAAAAATATTAAATGGCCTTTTATCTGTAACATTTTAACTTCAGGTGATATGTTGATTTTTTGAATGATTTATTAGATATTTTCTCCTTAGGAATATAAATCTCATTTATTCTTTGTAATAGAAATGCAGATGATGAATTAGCCATGCAGCATGTAACTATACAAATTATTTTAAAAGAAATTAACTTTAATATGAAAAATAAGGAAAAGAAGAGCAGTTTGGTGAAAGATAACAGAAGAAAGGAATTCCCAAACTGGTTTTTAAATGCGATCCAGAGAGTTAAGTTTTAGGTGCATTTCACTCTGAGAATCTAGGACCCCTAGTGGTTCTTTTTGGGTCCAGGGACCATTCTTGGTTGCTCTGGGTTAGTACAAAGAGTCAGGGACCTTATATCTAAAAGTAAGAATTTTGGTCTTTATTTGCAACCAAAATGCAGAGGGAGAATTATCCCCAAATCGGATCATTAGAATTTTGCATTGCCCCCTGTGCCTGAGCCGTGTCTTATTACCTCTGGGCTTGTGGACTTGTTCTTGCCAATTTCCATCTGAGGATCTGCAGTGCTGCCCCAGAACAGCCCAGTGGACCCTGCTCTCTGGCCTGTTCACTCTTGTATTCATCCTTCCTGGGTTCTAGTGGATTAGCCAGACACTCCAATATAGATCTCCCTGATGCTAACAGATGTGCTGGCCAACTGATAGTTTTCAATTGGTCATCATCTGAAGCAGCATTTTCTGTTAGTGAGACAAAATTTCTTCATTTTGTCTACCTCACTTTACTTCGTGCCAGTAGTAAAAATTTTATTCTTGAAAGTTTCTCTAATATAGTCTTTGGTTACAGGAATAGATTAATTAGTCTATGGTGGATTAATACATATTTAATTAATAAATTAGTATCGGAAGGTATATATTCTTGGCTTCTGAAAATACACACTTAAAATAGAATCTGTTTTGTTTTCATTGTGATTGCTCTGGGAATAATATGGTTGCACTAATCTCTCCCCATCCTAGTTTATATTTAAAAAGCTTCAGGCTGAACTATAACATCTATAAAGTTGTTATATAATACATTAGTTGCCTTTGAAAAAATCAAATCTCAGAATTCAAACAAAATCGTTTTTGTCATTTTAATGCTTGAACATGTAAAATGTTTACTGGTTGGTTAGAGGAAGTGAATTTCCCCTTAGTACTGTTATTCTCTGGATAAAGCTGTTTTTGTGAAACTACAAAAGCACGTTTTCATTAAATACACAACAGCACTAGGTGAGAGAAGTAGCCAGCTGACAGAAAAGGCATTTGATAAAGTGGGTATGTTTAAAATGTGTTATCTGCACTAAAGCCCCAGATTCATTTTACTGTGTGGCTTTAAACAATTAATGTGACAGATGGCTTCCAGCAGCCTTGGAAATCTGATCTTTCCTGTCAAGCTTCATAGGTTTGGCAGCTGCTCTGGAAGGTTGTGTGTCAACCTGTCCACCAGCTATTTACACTTTGGTTCCAGTTGATGAGAGATGGCCATGACTGTAAGAACAGCTCTCATCTTCTTGAGCAGAAGCATCTTGTTTGGAATCTTTAATTCCAAAACATACTTTGGAGAGATAGACATGTGGTATTGGCATACAAAGACCCATCTATCTGGCCAGTCTACAAGGCACTGAAGTCACTGACAAAAGAAGTAGTTTCTGTGTCTGCTCTTTCTATAGTATATGGAATATAGATAGTAGATGTTGTTTTCTTCAGTTTTAAAAAGTAAAACATGTCAAAGATCCATAAAATATGGAAGAATGCATAATGATTTCCTTTATGTTCACCACTGAGAGTCAACAGATTTTAACATTTTGACATCTAGGTGTCTGACTATATTTTATCTGAGTCAGTGGTTCTCAACCAGGGTGATTTTGCACCACCTCCCTGGACATTTAGCAACATCTGGGGACGTTTTAGGTGGTTACAACTCAGAGGGTGCTGCTGGCATTTAGTGGGAAGGCCAGAGACGCTGCTAAACATGGTTCAATGCACAGGAGAACACCTCTATGACAACACAGAATTATCCAGTCCCAAATGTCAATAGGACCATGATTGAGAACCAAGGGGTGTGTGTGTGTGTGTGTGT